TCCGTTTTCATTACTGCCAAAAAAGAAAAAAAAAAGATATATAAAAACATGAGGCTGATGAGAAAACATGAAGTGATGTCAACTTTGTCAGTGATATCCTGCCAGAAAATGGGGACGTTAAGATATATTAAGAAATTGGTCATATATGCAGTTGGGAGTAATGCATATCATGGCATCCTAAAATGTAATGTTCCTGGCAGATGCCTGCAGACCAAAAAACAAGAAAACAAAATACTGATGATTACAAAATATATGCAGGTGATAAACGGACTTTTGAAAAGTTCAAAAGATGTTCAAAGTATGCCAAAAATATATACTGTACGTTAAATGAAGATATATCATGTCACCATTATCTTAACCACAATGCCCCTTACCCTAAAATTCTGTTATGTGAAGTAAATGTGAGCGTGAGACGAAGAGAGAGAGAGAGAGAGAGAGAGAGAGAGAGAGAGAGAGAGAGAGAGAGAGAGAGAGAGAGAGAGAGAGAGAGAGAGAGAGAGAGAGAGAGCAGGAGGGAGCGGTAGGTGTTTGTGTGTGTGTATTAATACGCGCGTAATGAAGGGCTCTCTCTCTCAAGACACTGCACATTTGTCTCGTATACTATATGTATTACCCATAAACCGTGCATACGCGAGCGGGTCTGACAGTTATGTATGGGTCGACGTGCCGGCCCAGTTTACCCCACCCCTGTGGTACTGCAGGGTGGGTGTGAGGAGCCCCTCTGCCTCACCCCTTGGGTCTAGTCCGGCCGCATCTAGAATATCCTCCAGTAACATTATACACATTAAAGAAAACTAACATGCAAAACTACAAGGAGTGCAAAATAAGGCACTAAGGAGAGCAGCAAAACACCGTCCACCATATGATCGGACAATCCAGGAGCTCCATGAACTCCTGAACATGCAGCCACTAAACATCAGACTACAACACCAAAGCCACTAGGGTGTGGAACACCATCGAAAAGTTAGAAGATCCAATGCTTTAAAGATTTCTCTAAGATAAGACGCCCCGCTCCTACAGCTGGTGGCCCAAGATGAGACGCCCCACCTCCTCAGCTAGTGGCCCAAGAGCCTCGATGTACTCGATCAAAACTCAGCCCCACAATACGTAATTCCTAAATGAAATTTTGATCACAAAATCTTCCCTTAGCAAAAAAAATAATAATTAATATATACTAAAATAAAAGCCTTAAACAGAACATCAAAACATGTGTGAAAGCATTTGAATGTGTATGTATGAATGCTACACAGTATTCATCTATAGACATCCATATATACTGAAATACATGTAAAGAACCTCGTACTCACAGCTCCCAGCCAAGAGAGAGCAAGCTTAGCTTAGCTGCCAACACACACACACATCGTGTCAGCAAGGTGGACAGCTCGTCTGTTATCATAACCCACTCTATAGTCCACATTTCTAAACTTTCGCTTCACCTGTGCCTCTTCATATTCCCCCCCCCCCTTCCTCCTCCGAAAACTGGGTACTGTAGGGTGGGAGTAAGGAGCCCATCTATCCAGCCCCTGGTAATTACCAGAGTGTAATTACCTAAGTGTAGTTACAGGATGAAAGTTACGCTCGTGGTGTCCCGTCTTCCCAGTACTCTTTGTTGTATAACGCTTTGAAACTTCTGACGGTTTTGGCCTCCACCACCTTCTCACTTAGCTTGTTCCAACCGTCTATCACTCTGCAAAATAAAATTTTCTAATATTTTTCGGCACCTTTGTTCCTTTAGCTTGAATTTGTATCCTCTTGTTCGTGAAGTTGCTGGTTTCAGGTATTCCTCTTTGTCAATTGGGTCTATTCCTGTTAGTATTTTGTAAGTGGTGATCATATCTCTTATTATTCTTTTATCTTATAGTTTAGGCATGTTTAACGCCCCCCATTCTCCCCTCGTAACTTTTGTTCTTCAGTTCCGGAAGCCAGTTTGTAGCATGCCGTTGCACATGTTCCAGACTATGTGCTTCTTGAGATTTGGGCACCACACAACTGCTGCATATTCCAAGTTTGGTCTCACAAATGTCATGAACTCTTTAGTATTTCACCATGCATATAATTAATAGTTTATTACAGTTCATCCATGGTGTACTGTAGCGTATGTTTAAGAGTTTCCTCTCTCGCACAACTGATGAATGAAACACCAGAAATCTCTGGTACTGGCGACATCTGGCGAGCGACAACCGTCAAACACTTTTCCAACACTTACACAACGCTCGTCATCTATTTTTGTCAATTGTTATTGTTTCAACTTAAGATTATCCTCTAACAATTTGTTTAATTTGAATTGTTATTTTTTTCCGGGGATGCTATGATATATTTTAAGAATATGCCTCTGTACAAACGTGGAACTTGTAGTACTCTTTACATAATCCAAGGACCTCTTGTTTTTAATAAGAGATGGAGCAGTAACCTTTACAAATTTGTTTTTAGAAACATGCGGGGAATAAATACAGAAAACTCGAAATCGCCTGCCTATCTTACCTTGCGATGATTTCGGGGCTCAATGTCCCCGGGGCACGGTTCTCGACCAGGCTTCCTGGTTGCTGGACTGGTCAACCAGGCTGTTGGACGCGGCTGCTCGCAGCCTTGATAGCTACTGTGCTTTTAACATTCACGAAATGTTGGCAGGTGCGCTGAGTGCTGAGGACTGAGGGGTCACGAGCTTAGCTAGAAGTCTGTCCTCTCGAACTTTGACGTCAAAATCCCCAACGGACGAACTATGATGCGCTATAAATTATAACGACTTGCAACATTTAGATTTTCCATGTGTGTGTCCATCGGTTATGTTAGGTTAGAGTAGGTTACCTTGAGGTGCTTCCGGGGCTTAGCGTCCCCGCGGCCCGGTCGTCGACCTGACCTCCTAGGTTCAGGCAATTTAGTACAGCATTTTTTGTCCGTTGAGACAACTCGAGAGGACGGGCTGAATATATTAGTTACAGTATAACATCGGTACAGTGATGAAATTGTCAGAGCTGAATGCACTAAATATATGAGAGTCACGATTAGTAGGACTCTAATGCTAAAAAATAAAAATTAAATACATCAATGTTCGAAATAGAGGAAAGAGTATGCTGGTTATTGTCTTAGAAATAAGATATTCAACGTAATAATACACACCGCGTCTGCCCGAAACGCTATGTACTCACCTAGTTGTGCTTGCGGGGGTTGAGCTCTGGCTCTTTGGTCCCGCCTCTCAACCGTCAAATTATGTGTGTTAGTGGCTTTGTAAGAATGTAAGAACACTAATGTTATGTACTCTCACAACCCATTGCACCTTGTATATAAATAAATACGTATAAATAAATAAATAAATAAATATTATGTATATTTTATTCGAGACAGGAAATACTCGATGGTGGTGAGAAACCTAATCAGAGAGAGAGAGAGAGAGAGAGAGAGAGAGAGAGAGAGAGAGAGAGAGAGAGAGAGAGAGAGAGAGAATATAAGAAAATTTTTTACATTTGTATTTTTTAAGAAATGATTTATTATTATTTTCATAAAACAAGTTGGTATAGGGGAGTAGGGGTAAATTCCACGATCTGCCTAATGAAATCAAACCATTCGTTGGTAACGCAAAGCAAGTCTTACCAACGTAGCACGTCTTACCAACGCAGCACGTCTTACCAACGTAGCAAGTCTTACCAACGCAGCACGTCTTACCAACGCAGCACGTCTTACCAACGTAGCACGTCTTACCAACGCAGCACGTCTTACCAACGCAGCACGTCTTACCAACGTAGCACGTCTTACCAACGCAGCACGTCTTACCAACGCAGCACGTCTTACCAACGTAACAAGTCTTACAAGGCGCCCGACGACGACAGCTCTGTTTTAACAACATATGATAATAAATAAAGCTGACTTACTAATGCCCACACCTGCTTCTTATCGCTGTGCCAACACCGCGTCATCTTCAAACATTTTACAGCACCATCCTCCCTGGCCACTATCCTGCAGTCCCCTGGTACCATGCTCCTACTGCCCCTTATACCAGTCCCAGGTACTAGCCTCACATGCCCTCATACACCAGATCCCAGCTACCAGTCTCCTATGCCCAGATATACCAGTCTCCTACACCCCCAAATACCAACCTTCCGCACCCCCATACACCAACCTCCCACACCCCCATACACCAGTCGCTGATGCCAGCCTCCCACACCCACATACACCAACCTCCCACACCCACATACACCAGCTCCAGATGCCAGCCTCCCACACCCACATACACCAGCTCCAGATGCCAGCCTCCCACACCCACATACACCAGCTCCAGATGCCAGCCTTTAATGTTGTTTTTCTGGCGTGGGTGTGAATCAACTTGAGTTCGGTCTTTGCTTTAGCCAGTTTCATTTTTTAATTTTATGTTTCCATTCTCACGCTGAGATATTTCTGGTTGTCTCTTATCCGTCTTTGCCGTCCTCTTGTTCTTGTAATTTTTCCTTGCTCTCATCCCATATGCTTTGCTTTCTTAGATTCTTGGTTAAAGCAAGAGTTAATCCTATACCTTTCGTTGAAGTGGATCAAATACGTCAGCTGCCTCCCAGCATTTTTCGTTGTAGAAGCCCATCTTTTCGCGTGGGGCCTTTCCTACAAGTTCTATTTCAAATAGTATCCTTGTCAGACGCTGATTGATAAAGATTAAGCCACCCAAAAGTTGTCATCTGGGTATATTTTATTGTGTTATAGAATGTTTTAGTGTTTATATAAGTATAAATGTATGTGTTTGTGTATGGATGTATATAAGTGTGTTGAGACGTATATGAATACTGGGAGGTGTATGTGGGTATACACTCATACATGTGGGTATATGTATGAGTGTTTGATTGTAATCGCGTGTTAAGTCAAGACATTTTCATCAAATAATGTATTTCAATTGATGTCTGTATTAGCATATACAAAACAACATATTTTAGCAACGATAATGAAAGGTACATTCACATCTCAAAATATAAAAATTACCTATAATATTAAGTGACGGGATATTAAATGGCGTTATCGAATGTTGTTGAAACATTTTATTGACTCATGTACAAAAGATGATTTTATATTTCGTAGATGAGATTGATGAATAATAGAGATGTATAATAATTCGGAATAATACTCTTCTTGAGGTATACATTCGTATATTGATAATGATTTAGAAGCACTTGCGGTGGACGATGCCTGGTCCGGACTCGTCGTACTCCTCCTTGGTGATCCACATGGACTGGAAGGTGGACAGAGAGGCCAGGATGGAGCCACCGATCCAGACGGAGTACTTACGCTCGGGAGGAGCAATGATCTTGATCTTGATGGTTGGAGGAGCTAGAGATGTAATTTCCTTCTGCATGCGGTCAGCAATACCAGGGTACATGGTGGTACCACCAGACAAAACGTTGTTGGCGAACAGGTCCTTCCTGATATCAATGTCGCACCTCATGATGGAGTTGTAGACGGTCTCATGGATACCAACAGATTCCATACCCAGGAAGGAAGGCTGGAACAAGGACTCTGGGCAACGGAAACGTTCGTTACCGATGGTGATGACCTGACCATCAGGAAGTTCGTAGGACTTCTCAAGGGAGGAAGATGCAGCTGCCAAATTCATTTCATTCTCGAAATCTAGAGCAACGTAGCAAAGTTTCTCCTTGATATCGCGAACGATTTCTCGCTCAGCCGTGGTGGTGAAGGAATAACCACGCTCAGTCATGATCTTCATCAAGTAGGCAGTCAAGTCACGGCCAGCCAAGTCGAGACGAAGGATAGCGTGGGGAAGAGCATAACCCTCCCAAATTGGAACGGTGTGAGTAACACCATCACCGGAGTCCAGCACGATACCTGTGGTACGACCAGAGGCGTACAGGGACAGCACGGCCTGGATGGCCACGTACATGGCGGGGGTGTTGAAGGTCTCGAACATGATCTGTGTCATCTTTTCACGGTTGGCCTTGGGGTTGAGGGGAGCCTCCGTCAGGAGGACTGGGGACTCCTCAGGGGCAACACGCAGCTCGTTGTAGAAGGAGTGATGCCAGATCTTCTCCATGTCGTCCCAGTTGGTGATGATGCCGTGTTCGATGGGGTACTTGAGAGTCAGGATACCTCTCTTGCTCTGGGCCTCATCACCGACGTAGGCGTCCTTCTGACCCATACCGACCATCACACCCTGGTGACGAGGACGGCCGACGATGGAGGGGAAGACGGCGCGGGGAGCGTCGTCGCCGGCGAAGCCGGCCTTGACCATGCCGGAGCCATTGTCCACAACCAGGGGAGTTACTTCTTCGTCACACATTTTCGTCTAGTGCCTCTGCTAAAAAATATACACAAGATATTATATATTGTATTAAAGATATATAACATTTACTTTTTACGTTTACGCGCCCAAGCACACACACGTACGCATTATCTCTCTCTCTCTCTCTCTCTCTCTCTCTCTCTCTCTCTCTCTCTCTCTCTCTCTCTCTCTCTCTCTCTCTCTCTCTCTCTCTCTCTCTCTCTCTCTCTCTCTCTCTCTCTCTCTCACGCTCAAGCTCACAAAGATGTACAACTGTGTATGGATATTTATAAATCATTCATCATACTGACATAAATACACACGACTTCACTAATTACTTGCACCACCTGTGAATCTTTTTATGTCATCATGGTATCACTGAATTATGACGGCAATGGCGGCCTCTTGGCACCGTCTCCAAATATTTCAATTCACATATGGTAGCATTTGTCAACTCTTGAGATGCAACTATATTTCAGGGATGGGGAGTTTTCGCTCCCCATCTCTACTCTTACTCTCAGCTGTATGGTGAACTGCGTGACCTTCAAGACCTCTGCCGTGTTTACCTCTGAGAGAACTCACTTCAAGATGCTGTATAAACATGTGATAACACTTTAAAAACCACACGGCCTTGGAGGCTGCATGTGTACTATAACACTTTGTAGCTTGACTCATTACAGGAAGAAGTAATCCTTGTTTGATCATTGTTTGTGTAGTTGCAAGAGGTATATCCAGTGGACAAATCCACAAGAGCCGTGACGAGGATTCGAACCTGCGTCCAGGAGCATCCCAGACACTGCCTTAATCGACTGTGTCTGGGATGCTCCCGGATGCAGGTTCGAATCCTCGTCACGGCCCTTGTGGATTTGTTCATATGATGCATCACGTTAGTGTGATCTCTGTGTGTGCACATCCAGTGGAGTTCCATTCTTGCATTTTTTTTAAGTCATAAGAACAACCACTTCTTATGATTGTAGCTTATACCGCCGTACAAGGTTAGCATACTGACATAGATATGCACAAACTAACACCCGAGTTCCATCTTGAGTCACGCAATTTAACCCTTAATTCGTCACATCACTGCGGCGCACAGAAGTCTTCACATACCCTGAGCCTTGAGTCCACTAAAAGCTGGAGTGTTTACGTGTGCCTTTATATACCCACCTTTCCCATCTCACACATGCCCTAAGTAATGGTTGCAGTTGTCGTATTAGGCAGATATTTCCCCCTAGCGTGTGCGTGGGTGGAAGCCGTACATGTCACTCTATGATATAAATACGTCCCAAGGCTGACCTCCCATACGACCAAAGGGTTCAGAAAATCGCAAATTCCTGATCATCAAATACTCTGAAGAGCTTCCACGTCAGCCAGTGACTTGTGGTTTAAAACCCACCAGGTAAATCTCTTCTACGTAATATCGACATTTATGGTGTTGCTTCAGCAGGGAGTCAAGGAGGGCGAGCAGGATTTGACTTTATATAGCTGGACTTCCGTGGCTGTGTGTGGTACACATTTTAGCGCAGGTTTTCCCACAGTTATTGACACTAAATAATGTGTGTGTGTGTGCTGGAATACTTTGTACTTACTGCTGGTCTCTTGATACGTGTATTCGTTAGTTAGTTTAGTTGCCATTATGTGTGTGTGTGTGTGTGTGTGTGTGTGTGTGTGTGTGTGTGTGTGTGTGTGTGTGTGTGTGTGTGTGTGTGTGTGTGTGTGTGTGTGTGTATGTGTGTGTGCGCGCACACGCGCGTGGGTGTGCATGTGTGGGTGCGTGTATCCTGGATGTCATAAAACACACGTGACCTTGAACTGTAAAAATAACTGTATATATATATATATATATATATATATATATATATATATATATATATATATATATATATATATATATACATACATACATACATACATACATACATACATACATACATAATTTCTTTGCCTTCGTGTCATGGCGCAGAGCCCATAAAGTAGGGGTAGTCTTATGGTGTGAGGGTGTTTGTGCTCTGTCAGGGCGCGGGTGTTATATTTGGTGTGCACATAGCCAAATTAGCGTGTACCAAAGATGATGTTGAATTAGACCTAGGCATCTCCATCTCTGCTCTCAAGACTATATTGTATCAAACACTCAGGTCTGATAAGAGAGAAATTACTGACTCCCAGAGGCCTGAAAGCACCTGTATAAAAAGGGATGATTTCTTCAGATCTGAAACCTATATATATGGGCAGCACAAACGTCCACCAGACTGTGCGACACAGTGGTTGCCAGGATCAGGTTGGGTTATCGTTGCCTGTGGCAGGTGGCTACAGGTGACGGATCTCCCAATGCTGAGCATTTCAGGTACAATCTCTGTGAGCAGAAACTGGGACATGATCTCCCACACTACGTCACCGAATGCCCAGTTATCAGACCATTCAGACTCATTAGCATGAGGTACCTGGAGCTTTGCAATTACTTTATTCACTCTCGTGTTCTTGAGGATATCCTCATAATGCACCTTAAGTTTGCTTGTGTAGGGTACTTATCACAAGCCTTTGTATGACTAATCATCCTGTGTGATGGGGATTTTAAGCATCACGTAGCTAGTTTATTTTTATGAACACTCTACTCCCCGTCATATAGTTTAGGGTAGCTGCACAAATGCAACTGTACCTAAATGTGTTAATTTAAATGTTAATGAAACAAAATTCTCAACATATATAAAAATGCATTAAACAATAATATTTATAATAACTTTATTGCAGATCAATACTGATAAGTTGTTCAGAGATACATTCGTTCTGACATAGATTTAAAGTGTGAGTTATACATTCAGGGTTGCAGTACACTGCAACCCTGAATGGTCACTTCATAAGTGACCAACCCAGGGTTGGTCACTTATACTGACACTCATCAATATAGGATATGATTTTTATTTCATTCACTTGGATCTTGGCGGGATTATACTCAGGCCAGAGAAAATGTGTCTTTCCTTTGCCACACAATAGTTTATATTCACACATTTTATGGAAAGCTATACTAACCAAACTGTCGAAACAATGACCTGCGGAAGCACCAAGGGTAAATCAGTACACTTTAATATACCTTTGTGCGGCAGTAATGTATTTCCAACACAATCACTTTATTGCAGGCGATGAGTCACAATAACGTGGCTAAAGTATGTTGACCAGACCAAACTGTATTTCGGTCCGTCCTAGACCATTCTCAAGTCGATTGTGAGACTGGTCACAATCGACTTGAGAATGGTCCAGGACGGACCGAAACGTCGTTGTCCCTTCACCTTCTAGTGTGTGGTCTGGTCAACACAATCACTTTATTGATATTGTTGTTGATTTAGGAGCGACGACGACCCGTGCATGGGATGGGGGGGGGGGGGCAGGCTTCCCCATCACAATCACTTGTACGCCCTCACTTCCCCATCAAAACAATCGCACTGAGCGACTCTATCTCACATCTCAATATTTACATCAGTTCATCCCGTGGCATAGACGTTCATGCAGGATTCTTCAGTTTGTTTCGTTGATGTATATTGTATTTCTGCTCTGTTGTTTGTCAACAGTTTTATAATGTATTCCCTAATTTCCAAAATAATTAATAATGCACACATTTCTAAAGCTTCGGTAACTGAGTTTACATTTTCAATATACACGTCATTACGTATATAAGATTACTCTGAATTATTCAGATCAACTCTCCTACTTGTAGAAATATACATCAATAAGTAGGGCCATTTATATAAGGCATGCACACAATATTTCTCCTAACCGTACTCGGGACTAATTTATACACAAACGAACACGCATACACTGCGAGGACTTGCTATACTTAAGCACTTATACTTATTATCTCGTTGTATTATACATGCAGCCCGTATTCTTGAGTTGCCACAAGGGACAAAATACGGGGTATTAAAACTCGCGAACTGAAGACATTCACCTGACATTACCGAACTCCGCTTAGAAAACGTGGATTTTTTTTAGTGAAAATCCACACGCTTGAGTGAAAGAGTGTCGGTGCTGAGGGGCGATCTGAAGGAGAGTGCGTTGATTGATTGATGAAGACTAAGTCACCCAAGAAATGGCACGGGTATGAATAGCCCGTAAGTGGTGGATTTTTGGAGTGAATGTGATCTTTGGTGGTGAAGAGAGAGCGTTAAGCCACTATATCTTATATAGCTCATGGAAGGGTTATGGGGACAAGAAAGTGGGATATGAGGCCGGGGTGAAAGAACGGTACCCAACCATTTAGACAATCCGGGATCTTGGACGCCGCGACTGCACTAAGCAAGGATGTTGTTCTACCAACCAGTTCAAGTGGTTGAACCTGAAGCAATAGAACAAACATTTCATCAATAATTCTGAACGTTGTATGAAAGACTCAACCATGAAGGCAAGGTTTTCAATCTCATGCTGATAACACTAATGGGTTACGATTGCCTGGCGAGGGAATCATAAATCAGTACACAAAGAAATCACATTATCGTGAAATATCAATGAAAAAATCCACAGGAGTCGTGTGGGAACTAGACAGTGGACTAGAGCGTATGCCTGGAAACGCCCAGTGCTTAGATTCGAACCCTCATCACGGCTCCTGTGGATTTGTTCATATAAATCAGTGGTGGATGGTTGAACGAGGACTGAGGTGGGTAGTGGTGCCAAGGTGGTGGTGCCTGGCAGATAACATCACCTCTGCCAGAGAGGCTGTTTCACACCAATTATTACTGAGTTTATTAATTGAGTTTATATATGAATATAATAATATTCAATTATTACGGAACAACAACACTGGCATGAAGAACCTGACATGAACCTGATACAATCGCCCAGTGATTGTTCCTTTTCAATCCTTTCCAACAATCCTCCGTCCTCCCCCCTCCCCCCTCTTTCCTAGCCATGTAAACAATAAATAATAATAATAAAAATATAGCCCGGACAATCCTTCAATTCTGAGTCAATTGAAGATTGAATTAATCTACTGTCTTGGATTAAACTTCTGTAAGTAAAATAATAAAACCTAGAAGCCAAACCGGTCTCAAACCTTCCCCTCTCCCTTCTTAGCTGAGCCCAAGCTGTTGTTGTTATAGATTCAGCTACTCTGAACAAGTTCCAAGTAGCACGGGCTATGGTGACCCCGTAGTGAACTTACCTGGCACAGGAGCGGGGTTGTGTGTGTGCGACGAGCCCAAGCAAAACCCTCTCAACTTACACCCAGCCTCAGACAGTCCTCGACCCATACATCACCTCTTCAACCTATTCCGTTGTCCTTCACTCCCTCTCTTGCCTCAAGTCACCCTTGACCTCTAGAGAAAGAGAGAGAGGTGATGAGTAACCTCTCATACTTAAATGATAAGTTAACCTCTCATATCATCTTAAACTCAATATGATGAGTTTAAGAGTAACCTCTTAAACGCAATGTTTATGAGGCTATTGCCTTTAAGACTTAGATGTACTACTTGCATACGAAATCTAATGAACAAACTCATAGGTATTCATAAGGCGATCCATTGACAACGAGGTAGAACAAACACACCTAACTCATACCATTCATAAAGAACTTGCTGATTTTGGGGACAAAATATCTTGCTTAAACCCCCACACTTCACTTATGAACATTTTGATATTCCATGTTGTCTGATACGTCTCCTTGTACGTCCCGGGATATATATTCTCCTGAAACGCTTCCTGATGCTCAGGAATAACCACCTGCGTGAAAGTGAGCCTAAATCGTCTAAGGTATAATGCAAAACAAATCACAATTGTCATCTTCCTAACTTCACAACGAGATTTGCCTGATAATAAAATCTATTTTCATTAATCTCTCTAAATAATCATATAAAAAACACCCTTGCATTAACCTACTACCAGTTACTACTACTACTGCGCAACTGTGCAGCCACTGGAGCACGGAAGAATTAACAGGCATCAGCGAGACACGAGTCTTGACCAGACCACACACTAGAAGGTGAAGGGACGACGACGTTTCGGTCCGTCCGGGACCATTCTCAAGTCGATTGTCTGCACACTCAAGTCATCGCCTGCTCACGGGTCTTACGGGTAGCCGGGAGATGCAGGTGAAGTGAGATACGCTCTGAGACAATCCCGTTCCTAAATCCTCATTACTTGGAGCAGAATTATTTGTTTCATATTAAATCCAAACTGTATGAAGTGTTTTCCTGGTTTTATTTTGATTTGAATGTTGTTATTTACACAAGAATTTGCACCTCGTAAGGAATTGATGCCCCGGATATCTTAAGATATCAGAGATGTATGACATTAGGATGCATACGATATTAATTTATCTTAAGATATATTACTTAAGATATTCCTCAATCTAAAGATATCCTACATCTCAAGATATTCTTACATATCTTGAGATATTACTATTACGATCTTACTACATATTATCATTTTCCCACATCGTAAGACATTCCGACATACTACGATCTTCCAACATATTAAGATATTCCTACATCTTAAGATATTCTTCACTCTAACGATATTCCTCAATCTTAAGATATTGCTACAAATTAAGATATTTATGTATGTAATAGTTTTGTGGGAGTAATGGGGCGGAGTGTGACAAGTGACAGTGATAATTGTTAATGGTCGAGCCAATACGACTTATGCAGGCGATGAGTCACAATAACGTGGCTAAAGTAATTTGACCAGACCACACACTAGAAGGTGAAAAGACGACGACGTTTCGGTCCGTCCTGGACCATTCTCATGTTGATTGTGAATGGTCCAGGACGGACCGAAACGTCGTCGTCCCTTCACCTTCTAGTGTGTGGTCTGGTCAAAATACGACTTACGGTCGACCCATTACGACAGGTGAGTATTGGTGAAGTGTCGCTCCTGACTCCACCACTTCATGTTTAAAGAAGTGCTGCTCTACCCTGAACCAATTATTTTATTTCGTGTATAATGTATTTACAAGATTGTAAATACTATGCTATGTATTCTCATAAACCCAATGTACCTTCTTGTATATAAATAAATAAAATAAAAATAAAATGTATTTAAGTGTATACATATCCATACAAACCTGCCAGACTAAAAGTTACAAAGATATTGATGAGAACTAAATGCGAAGCTGCTTGGCTTACTGTTCATCGTCCATACACTAGTTTATAACATCTGCGCCTCCAATCAACAGCATTGGAAACAATTATATTCCAGAGTTCATCAAGTATTTACGAAACCTGTACATCATCCTCAATTGTAGAGACTCTGTTTACATGTTTTTAAACACTGTATGAGTTCGAAGCTTCACAATCCATGGTTATTAATTCTCATGAGCTGTTGAATAAAATGTAAACAAATCCCGCAATGACCGAGGAAAGATGTACAGGTTTCGTAAGTGCTTAATGAATCCTGGCCCTGGGCGTCTTGGCTGCATGTGAGGAGAAGATGGTGTCTGTTGAACCCTGGGGCTTTGTGGCGCGTCAGAAATAGTCCCGATGCTTATGTCAATATTTCCCAAGATGGAGAGAGAGAAAGAGATAAGAAAAACACTAAACTTGGCAGACATGTATGGGGTATACATAGTGAAACACTAAACTTGGTAGACATGTATGGGGTATACATATTGGAACACTAAACTTGGCAAACATGTATGGGGTATACATAGTGAAACACTAAACTTGGTAGACATGTATGGGGTATACATATTGGAACACTAAACTTGGCAGACATGTATGGGGTATACATAGTGAACACTAAACTTGGTAGACATGTATGGGGTATACATATTGGAACACTAAACTTGGCAGACATGTATGGGGTATACATAGTGAAACACTAAACTTGGTAGACATGTATGGGGTATACATATTGGAACACTAAACTTGGCAGACATGTATGGGGTATACATAGTGAAACATTAAACTTGGTAGACGTGTGTGGGTATACATAGTGAAACATTAAACTTGGCAGACATGTATGGGGTATACATAGTGAAACATTAAACTTGGTAGACATGTGTGGGTATACATAGTGAAACATTAAACTTGGCAGACATGTATGGGGTATACATAGTGAAACATTAAACTTGATAGACATGTATGGGGTATACATAGTGAAACACTAAACTTGGCAGACATGTATGGGGTATACATAGTGAAACACTAAACTTGGTAGACATGCATGTGGTATACATAGTGAAACACTAAACTTGGCAGACATGTATGGGGTATACATAGTGAAACACTAAACTTGGCAGACATGTATGGGGTATACATAGTGAAACACTAAACTTGGCAGACAAGGTTAAGAAAGTTAGTAAGAGATAAGGAAGGTGTTGAAGGGAAGAGAAGATAGCGCAGGAGATGGAAAGTGATAAAGGGTTATGAAGATGATGAAGAATAGTGAAGATGGTGCAGGGTAGGGAAGGTCGTGAATTGTAGGGACAGCTGGTTAAGTATAGGAAAGGTGGTGAAGGGTGGAGAATGTGGTGAATGGTAGGGAAGGTAGTGAAGGGTAGGAAAGATGATGAAGGATAGGGAAAATGGCCAGGGATAGGGAAGGTGGCGAAGGGTAGGGAAGATGGTGAATGGAAGAAAATGTGGTGATAGGTTCATTGATGAATGATGAAGAAGAATACGGATACAGTGATGACGATAGTGTTTAGTGAAGATGTGGTCTCAGAATTAATCACAATTTACTTCAGGTTTAAATAATTTCCGTACAAAAATATATAATTTATTCAAACATTTCGGACAAATTTTCAGTTTCAGTTTTCGGACAAATAATTTATAATTAGTAACATTTGCGATGAACGATGCCGGGACCGTACTCGTCAAACTCTCGCTTGGTGATCCACAGAGGCTGAAAGGTGGACAGAGAGGCCAGGATGGAGCCACCGATCCAGACGGAGTATTTACGCTCGGGAGGAGCAATGATCTTGATCTTGATGGTGGAGGGAGCCAGAGCTGTGATTTCCTTCTGCATGCGGTCAGCAATACCAGAGTACATGGTGGTACCACCAGACATGACAATGTTAGCGAACAGGTCTTTTCGAATGTCAATGTCGCACCTCATGACTGAATAATGAGCTATTTCGTGCATCCCAATGCATTCCATCCCGAGGAAAGAAGGTTGAAACAAAGCCTCGGGGGCACGGAACCTTTCGTTGCCGATTGTTATGACTTGACCATCAGGAAGTTCGTAAGCCTTTTCAACTGTATACGACGCGACAGCGATGTTCATTTCATTCGCGTAGTCTAACGCCACATAACCAAGTTTCTCTTTGATGTCTCGAACAATTTCGCGCTCAGCGGTGGTGGTAAAGGAATAACCACGTTCAGTCATTATTTTCATCAAATAGTTTGTTAAATCCCGACCCGCTAGATCGAGACGAAGAATGGCGTGAGGCAAGGCGTAACCTTCAAATATGGGGCATGTGTGGGTTACCCCGTCGCCAGAGTCCAGGACCAAGCCGGTGGTACGACCCGAGGCGTACAGTGATAGCAGGGCTTGGATAGCCACATACGCAGCTGGAGTCTGAAAGGTCTCAAACATAATTTTTATCATCGTCTCACGATTAGCCTTAGGATTCAGAGGTGCTTCGGTCAGGAGAACCGGAGATTCTTCAGGAGCAAGACGGAGCTCGTTGTAGAATGTGTGGTGCCAGATCTTCTCCATGTCGTCCCAGTTGGTGACAATGCCGTGTTCGATGGGGTACTTGAGAGTGAGAACTCCACGCCTGCTCTGGGCCTCGTCTCCGACATACGCTTCTTTCTGGCCCATACCGACCATGATACCATGGTGACGGGGTCGGCCGATGACGGAGGGGAAGACGGCGCGGGGAGCGTCGTCCCCAGCGAAGCCAGCCTTCAGAACACCCGAGCCGTTGTCCACCACCAAGGCTGCTGCTTCGTCATCACACATACTGCCAAACCCATACGTCCTGCAGCGAGAAAATCCTTGACTTCTGTAAATTACTTGATAGACATTAATTACACCATTATACATATCACACAAATAATTACAATTCAACAACAACGGTAAAATGTATCTTTACTTACCTTGAGAGGAACTGAGTGAGGCGGACACCAGCTCCACCTTATATTCCAACTCCCACAGCGACAGAGTTAACAGCTGCATCAGAGACTAAATAAAACACGAATGTAAAGCGTTGCCCGGGTGTAGTTAAATATGCTATCAAATATTATTTTGGTGGCAAGCATATACACAACAGGGCGCGTCATGAACCTCTTCCTATCCTGAATGACAGCTTGAAATTTATAACCCGGAATTTTGCCCAGCTTATCCCGTGGAAACTGTGTTACTGACTCGTGGATGTGGTGCCGCGCCCTGGGCTCTGGACCAAAAATATAATCCCACATACACATGCTTAAGCGCTTGCGTAAGATATACATTTGACGGGGAACTATAATCATAAATTATAGAATTATTTTATATACAGTATCACGCTTCTTATAAATGTAATACTTCAGTTTTGTAAAGTTACTTGAAAATGTTTGTCACTTAAGAGTAGAGTAAGAAAATGAGTTTTTAATATACTATAAAGGCTTGAGGCACCCGACCGCCCATGGGAGACACAGCTGACTTTGCCAACCACAGTCGACTGAATAAAATATGGGGCGCAACGCATTGGCAACAGTGTGTCTTGGTAAATATTACCAGATATCTGAACAATTTGTTGACATTAATGACTTCAAGTACATGCATGACCTATGTACACACAACATCCCTACACGGTTCCGTGAGTTATGTACACACATCCCTATACTGCTACATAAGTTATGTACACATCCCTACAAGAGTTATGCACACCCGGCAACATGAAATCTGTTCTTCGCGGTTCCATAAGCTATGTACGCAATATTTCACAAACTCGCATCCTTTTTGAGCTGTGTTTTCACAGTGCAGGAACTGGTCTTGGGTTACTTCCGCGTAAACATTGTATATTTTGGCAGCCGGTAAATCCCAACAAGTGTGTGTTGATCCGAGTGTGTAAACACATCATGCAAAGGGAAGGGATTTAGGTAGCAATATATGTAGGGTCTTCGAGAGTGATGTTCAGCTTTCCCTACTGGCTCTTACAGAGTGTTCTAATGTCCACTACGATGGGATCTGAGGTAATATATATATAGTGTCATCATCAAAGATCCAGATTATATATCAGTGATCATTTTAATGGCTATATGTATTGTAGAAAAAATATATTAAAAAAGTAGTTCATGTAAATGTTGTTAGTTTGAAGGAAAGAGAGACGCAACAGGTGCAGTGATGTTTGTCTTAATGTATTGAATAGATAGCTTATACGGGGGTGCCCGGGTCTCTCTCATCTGTCCCCCTCTCTCTTCCTCTGACTCTCTTCCACCCTCAACCTTCCTCTCCCTTTCCTTACCTCTCCCTAAACAGCCCCCCCCCCCGCTCTCTCTCTCTCTCTCTCTCTCTCTCTCTCTCTCTCTCTCTCTCTCTCTCTCTCTCTCTCTCTCTCTCTCTCTCTCTCTCTCTCTCTCTCTCTCTCTCTCTCTCTCTCTCTCTCTCTCTCTCTCTCTCTCTCTCTCTCTCTCTCTCTCTCTCTCTCTCTCTCTCTCTCTCTCTCTCTCTCTCTCTCTCTCTCTCTCTCTCTCTCTCTCTCTCTCTCTCTCCCCCTCTCTCTCTCTCTCTCTCTCTCTCTCTCTCTCTCTCTCTCTCTCTCTCTCTCTCTCTCTCTCTCTCTCTCTCTCTCTCTCTCTCTCTCTCTTACGAAATTCATTATTACGAAATGATGAACAATTTTCAAGACTCTTGGAGAACAAATCCCCAATTTCAAACTTCGTCAAAGCCGCTATGAGACGATAATTCTTAAGCGGGAGTAATGTGGCCGACTCCACCCAGCCTATGACAGTCACATACCACCCATGTATCTTTGGAAGTTTGGTGAAGCTAGCCCCAAGCGTCTGGCCTTCAACCTTGGACAGAAAGATAGACATTTTCTTGTATAGGTATAGAATTATAATCAAAACTGATGACCAATTCTTCATACCTGATATTTATCCAATACTCCTAAGTTGATATAGGTCGGAATACAATATTTTATGAATATATTTATTTTATTTTTAATTGACACAATAATCACATATTTTATACTATAATATTTATTTATGGTAAAAATATACATTTAATTATCACTATTTGGCTTGTTAACTCTAAAAGCACTTGCGGTGAACTATGGCCGGTCCGAACTCATCGTAATTCTCCTTGGTGATCCACATGGTCTGGAAGGTGGACAGAGAGGCCAGGATGGAGCCACCGATCCAGACGGAGTACTTGCGCTCGGGAGGAGCAATGATCTTGATCTTGATGGTGGGGGGAGCCAGAGCTGTGATTTCCTTCTGCATGCGGTCAGATATCCCAGGGTACATGGTGGTACCACCAGACAAAACATTGTTGGCGTACAGTTCTCTCCTTATGTCAACATCGCACTTCATTATGGACGTGTATACTGTCTCGTGAAGGCCAGCACATTCCATTCCCAGAAGCGAAGGCTGGAAAAGAGCCTCTGGACAGCGAAACCTCTCGTTCCCTATCGTCACTACCTGTCCGTCTGGAAGCTCGTAAGATTTGTCCAGAGAGGAAGACGCGGCGGCTACAGCTCTTTCATTCTCAAATTCTAGAGCAACATAACATAATTTTTCCTTAATGTCCCGTACAATCTCTCTTTCAGCACTTGTAGTGAACGAGTACCCACGCTCTGTCATAATTTTCATAAGGTAATCTGTTAGGTCTCTGCCGGCCAAGTCGAGGCGAAGGATGGCGTGGGGAAGACAGTAACCCTCAAAGATTGGGACACAGTGTGATACTCCGTCGCCAGAGTCAAGTACTATACCTGTGGTGCGACCCGAGGCGTACAAGGACAACACTGCTTGGATGGCCACATACATGGAAGGAGCAGCAAACGTTTCAAACATAATTTGAGTCATCTTCTCCCGATTAACTTTTGGGTTAAGTGGGGCTTCAGTAAGAAGAACTGCACACTCTTCGGGAGCTATACGTAATTCATTATAGAATGTATGATGCCAGATCTTCTCCATGTCGTCCCAGTTGGTGATGATGCCGTGTTCAACAGGGTACTTGAGAGTCAGGATACCTCTCTTGCTCTGGGCCTCATCACCGACGTAGGCGTCCTTCTGACCCATACCGACCATCACACCCTGGTGACGAGGACGGCCGACGATGGAGGGGAAGACGGCGCGGGGAGCGTCGTCACCGGCGAAGCCGGCCTTGACCATGCCGGAGCCATTGTCCACAACCAGCCCACAGATCTCATCATCGCACATGGTGCTTACCTGCAACACATCATTATGGTAATATGTTTTGAAATTACATAATTTGGAACACTATTACGATTGTTTTACATCAGCCATGGAATAAATGTACAAATCATAGCAAATGAATTGATAATGATAATGTACCAAACATTTTTTTAATATTAGCCACAAATGGGTGGAGTACAATGAATAATTTATTAGTTATGGTTTGGTAGTCATTACACTATATTTGTTTTTCAAAAATGTAATTGGCTTGTTTGAATTAATATTATTACAGTATATTAAGCACATGAATTATTGTCTTAGTTATGTTAGTTTAGGCTAAGTTAAGGTAGGTTAGGTTAGGTAGGTTATGTTAAGTTTGGTCATCTTTCTACGTTAGTTTTAACTCAAATTAAGCAAAAATGAAATAAAATATAATGTAATGGAAAACTTTACCATTTCATAAGACAAATTTTAGAAAAATATTTAACTTCAGGGAAACTCGACTTGTTAGGCAAATCGGGCCTTGCATAGTAGGCAAAGTAGGGCATTCTGGTTATTAGATACAATATATATATATATATATATATATATATATATATATATATATATATATATATATATATATATATATATATGTCGTACTTAGTAACCAGAACGCACTTCTCGGCCTACTATGCAAGGCCCGATTTGCCTTATAGGCCGAGTTATTTTCTATCAATTGTTTCCAATTGGTTTATTTTAAATAATGTTCTTATATAAAGAACATAAATTATTTAATTAGTTATGTTAGTTTAGGTTAGGTTAAGATAAGTTAGGTTAGGTTAGGTAGGGTTGGTTAGGTAGGGTTGGTTAGGTTCAGTCATATATCTACGTTAGTTTTAACTCAAATTTAAAAAAAAATTAACTCTTGCATAATGAAATGGATAGATTCATCATTTCATAGGAAAAAAATAGAAAAATATTGAAATTCAGGAAAACTTGACTTATTAGGGAAATCGGGCCTTGCATAGTAGTCCAAGAACTGCGTTCTGGCTACTAGGTACAATATATATATATATATATATATATATATATATATATATATATATATATATATATATATATATATATATATATATATATATATATATATACATATATATATATACTATAAATGAGAATGTCTGTCTGTATGTTTGTCCGTTCAAAGTTGGAGGCCACATGCTTGGGGTTGGCCTTATCCAAATTTGTATGGAAAATGGTCTGTGATACAGGGCGGACATAGGCTGATCCGGGTAGGCCTAAGTAAAATGATTTAAGTAATATTAATTATTCACAGCCCCCACCCGATTCTCAGATTAAATTCTGGTCAAGTGTGAAATATTCGTTCAGATGTCCCAAGACTTTCGTCGTCAGAAAAAAAATTCTTAAACAGATTAGTCTTATTTCTCCATAATATTATGTGTTATGAAAGGGAAGAGGGGCTAATTGGTTGGGGTGAGGGGAGGGGAGGGGGAGAGGAGGTTGATGTGGGAGGGCAGATGAGGGACTGGGGGAGGGAGGACGAGGGGAAAATGGGTGGGGGACAAAGATGGTAAGGGGAGGTTACCCATGTTCCGCCGGGTACCCGCGAATATTATATTTTATGAAAGGGATTAGCTAAGGGCTAAGGGAGAAGGGTAGAGAGAACGACGAGAGTGGGGGAGAGGTATTTAATAGTAACGTGGTTACCTTGCTTTCCGGGACTGTATGTTCAGAGGAAGTGACTGACAGACCCAGAAAATGACAGGGTACGGGGTCGACATACACTGGTCGGGGTAGGCCTAAATTAAATTGCCCAAGAAACATTAGTAATTATTCAAATCCATCTCACGGATTCAATTTGGTTGTGTTTGAAATATTGGTTGAGATGCCCAAAGAGTTTTTTCTTATAAAAAAGTTATTTCTTTAAACAATGCCGTAGTTTAATTGCTCCTTAACATTATATTTTCATCCCATCCTCCTGTTTTGGTAGTACTTATAGTAACGATGATGACCATAGTATATATACCGACGTACATCGAAATTATAAAGTAGAAATCTGAACTACTGAGGTGGACAAACGGGCAAACTATTTTATACCTGTGTTGCTTCGACAAACTAACCTAACCTAACCTCCCTATGCCCAATACACGATATCTGAGGCTTAAGATAGTACATATGTGTGCTATACTAGATCTAGGAATAGTTAAGTTTGTATTTTAGCTTCATTTATTTTTAAAAGAATTCCTTATTAGTCAGTATACTACTATCTAAAAAGCTAAGAACGTACGAATTCGTGCCTATTGACGATCGTCACAATAGGTACTATCTTAACAGGCGGATGGGTTGTATATTTCACGAATGGGAAGAGAGGCTAAGCAAGGGGGAGGGTGGTGGGTATGGGGAAGAGGAGCCAGAGGGGTAGGGGGGGGGAGGTGGGGGAGGTAGGTGGGTATGGGGAAGAGGAGCCAGAGGGGTAGGGGGGAGGAGGTGGGGGAGGGGGGATCGCATTTGCCTGGAACATTGGCTTTTGAAAAAAACGAATTTTTATCAATTTTCAGCCCGAATATGGTAATTGAAGGGTTGAATATTAGTGTTTTCTTGTGGAGTCTTATGACAGGATGATATATTTGGCTGCTTTTTGTGGTAGCTCTCAGTGAGGCTTTTTTATCATTAGTTTTGTTTCATTATTATTATTATTATTATTATTATTATTATTATTATGGGGGGTACCACCACTGGTGCAATTATAGGGACTCACGGCCTCAGAGAAGGGAACACAGAGCATTCAGGGAAAAACTTGCCATTTAACTCTGAATATGAAATTATTATTATTATTATTATTATTATTATTATTATTATTATTATTATTATTATTATTATTATTATTATTATATCTATTGTTATTATTCTTTTATCATTATTGTCGTTAATATGATGGTCATACAGTGTTGCGTGTGATAATGTTTTATTATCAATGTTGGAATTAAAGTTGTGTTATTCATTGTGCATGTAAATATTATTTCATTATATGAAATACAATGAAGTATAATGTAGTACTGTGCCTCATAAGCGTGAGTGTAAGGCGTGTAAAGTCAATAAGTGATTTATATATATGTTTGTAGAAGCAGAAATTAACATAAAACTTTCGAATCGTATTTTATAGCCAATATTTTAACTGCCTTTAACAGTTAATGAAACGAAATATATATTTGACACGCTATGTGTATGTTAATTAGCTTGCTAAACACGCATGACATATCTAACAAAGATTAAATTATCGACGCATTATTATTAATACAAAACATGTTAGTAAAACATTATTATTAGGCCTCAGGTATTCACTCGAATATTCCGTATTGTTTGTTGACCGAACCACACACTAGAAAGTGAAGGGACGACGACGTTTCAAGCACAATCGACTTGAGAATGGTCCAGGATGGACCGAAACGTCGTCGTCCCTTCACTTTCTAGTGTGTGGTTTGGTCAACATACTTCAGCCACGTTATTGTGACTCCTCGTCTGCAGTCCGTATTGTGTGTTAAGAGCGTTGTCTAATACACTGATGCAACTCTTCCACATGTAATATTCTTGTAATGATTCAGTCTCGCCTGTGTGGGAGTTAATTGTACGTCACTAACCCGTCTCTGCGTGTCCTGTAAGTCTTGTTTTATTGGTTCCTGTTATGGTATCAAAGTTAGATGCAGCTGCGCTCTCTTCTGCCCTCTCTGCGACCTCTTCAGCTGTTCTCGGCCGCTGCCCACACTGCGACCTGTTCAGCTGCTATTGACCGTTGCCCCACACTGCGACCTGTTCAGCTGCTATTGACCGCTGCCCACACTGCGACCTGTTCAGCTGACGACTGGCGGGATCCTTCGTGCACGGCCCCACACAACATCGCCTTCCTCACTTTTATAGCTTTAGTTCCAAGAGTGCTTTAAGACGTACACAAGTGGTGTTGCACATACTTGTGGTCTATATACTCCCTCGCCTCTCACGCTCGTCTCCCTCTTTCTTAAGCTCACCCCCAGACTCTAAAGTCGACTGCAGCACTTTGAGTACCGGCAGTGCTTGAGATTCCGAACGTACTTGAACAAAATATAATATCTTTCTCAAGGAGTCCAGGTGCTTCGAGTTGTTTCTGGTGAATGGGTTGTGTGGTGGACGTGAAGACTCGTGACCAACAGGTGGTAGAAGAGATAAACATCGGGAATACTTGATGTATATCTTAGATTACAGTTAAGCTGTCAGTCTCAAATGTAAAGATCTGATGTTTCACGGCCGTAAAGAAGAGCGAGCATCTTCACAGTTCTTTCATTACTCGCGGCGTCTCGGATACCCCCTGCTGGCAATGCAGTATTCGCCCAAGGACTCGAGCACAAACCTAAGATGCCCAACTGAGAAAGTTCCGCCAAAGGTTTAGCGGAAAAATACTAAAGATTTTCCATCAGTAATCTTTATATTCACAGGTGGGTCTTGTAGTACTTGTAGAACAGCGGACAGAAATAGTTGGGCACGTTTCCTTTCATCTCATGCCTTTGTTCACCTAGGTGTAGCTAAGTAATCGGAAGTTAGGCAACTGTCGTAGGATTACATCATAGGAAAAGACAGTAGTTCAAACTATGGGAGACTTTGATACAAGTCTAAATAATATATATATACATAAGCTTCCTGTCCCCAACAATGGAAATTAAGATGAATTCAATTTTAATTCAAATTAACTAAATAAATTGTTATCGAAAAAAACAATTATTTGGAGAATATTTCAAAATAGCGAGTTTAATGATTTTAAAGAAAGTGACACAATAACACAATTTAGAGACTGTAAGTAAAACAAAAGTGAACTTTTTATCGATTATTTTATTATGACATTTATTATAAGATATCATACTAAAATGATCATTTTATAATGAGATCAAAGTCTAGATAGAATTCAAGTGTGCTGAAAACAAACGCAGCAGATAGTTGTTTATAATAATAATAATAATAATAATAATAATAATAATAATAATAATAATAATAATAATAATAATAATATTTTATTTAGGAAAAGTACATACATAGATGCAGAGTTACAAACATTCTGATTGATTTATAGATAGAGGTAGTACATACTTAGTACTTAGAGCCACTAGTACGCATAGCGTTTCCGGCAAAACTGTTACAGCTGTTACCCCTGTTATGTTACCCCTGTTATGTTACCCCTGCTATGTTACCCCTGCTATGTTACCCCTGTTATGTTACCCCTGTTATAGCGACGAGTCTATACATGTTGCTAACAGCTTAGGATCAGAAGGCCTCTCGCGAGCATTATTTATTTACCGGGATTTATTTACTACAATCACATCTACGAAATTGCGACGAGTAATTATCTGTTCGCAACTTTAGCAAATTATACTTTGAATTCTTTGATACAAACCAGTAGAATTGTGTTCATAACTCCACATTGTTTTAAGAAGTCGACCTCCGTGTTAACTGTATGCTTCCATACCTCTCTGATCCTTACACACAGAAATCACAATAGCGTGATGCATCAAATGAACAAATCCACAAGGGCCGTGACGAGGATTCGAACCTGCGGCCCTGTGTGTGTGTGTGTGTGTGTGTGTGTGTGCGTGTGTGTGTGTGTGTGTGTGTGTGTGTGTGTGTGTGTGTGTGTGTGTGTGTGTGTAATGTCTCCAACATACTCGCCACCAAAGAAGATGTAAAATCACAGTAAAATTAGAGCAATATTTTGTTTACATTTGTTGAATTTGTCAATAAGGCACTTGCCAACAATGTTGTCACCAGGACGGCTGTAAAGTGTGGAGACACGTCTAAGGAGGTGCTCCAGGTGTCAGGCAAGATTGGATCAGAGGCAGGTAATGGACGTGGCCAGTGGCCTGCTCGCTGTCCAGTCGTTACAAGTACTCGATTACATCGCTAACTTGAGCATCTTCAAATATTCGCAAACGAAGTTGACTCGATCAATACCCAACCCACTTGGGCAAGTTGGTCTCCCTGCTTGGAGGTCGGCGTTCAATCCCCAACCCTCCCACGATGGTTCAAGTGGTTGGGCATCATTCCTGCACTCTGTCCTCCTATGCTGTCTTCGTATCTATTACAAGTGCTATATAGACATCTGGCTTGGCGTTTGCTGCTTATAGTAACCTTGACCTTTTCTGTGAATGGGTTAGCGTCACAGTCAACCCGTTCTCACGATTTGCCAAAATGTCAAATGTGAAGTGGTTTTACCAAACTCCAGAAGCGTCCGAGCCTCGGTTAATCTGCCTATCCAAACTTGTGCTGAGTTTTCTTGTTACATTTTACCTTCATGTTTATAAGTTGTCACATTATTGTTCGTGATGTACACACCCACGTATATATATATATATATATATATATATATATATATATATATATATATATATATATATATATATATATATATATATATACAGTATTAGTATATTTTGGGAGCAGTTTTTTAATACACGTGGAAGTAAACACAACAGCATTATTGCAATTGCTAATTTTCTTATGGATATTATCCATTCAACGTAAAGACCTTTTACTATCTAGAGGTGAAGAAACACTTAAGTCATTTAATCTTTCCATTTTATTTCTATGACGTTTCGTCACCAATGTGACATCTTCAGGAATACATGACATGCATACAGGTATACTAAGTTATACCTGTATGGTCTTACCTATACCTATACCTGGTATACCTATATACCTACTAAGTTATACCTGTATGGACTTACCTATACCTATACCAGGTATACCTATATACCTACTAAGGACAGGATTACTAAACTTACATGCAGAAACATAGACATTTACTTCATCATATATATATATATATATATATATATATATATATATATATATATATATATATATATATATATATATATATATATATATATATATATATATATATATATTTAACATTACCATGGGAAGTGTGGGAGGTTTGTAAACATCAACACGGGGAGCGTGGGAGGTTTGTAAACATCAGCACGAGGAAGTATGGGAGGTTTGTAAACATCAGCACGAGGAAGTGTGGGAGGTTTGTAAACATCAGCAAGGGAAGTGTGGGAGGTTTGTAAACATCAGCACGGGAAGTGTGGGAGGTTTGTAAACATCAGCAAGGGAAGTGTGGGAGGTTTGTAAACATCAGCACGGGAAGTGTGGGAGGTTTGTAAACATCAGCACGAGGAAGTGTGGGAGGTTTGTAAACATCAGCACGGGAAGTGTGGGAGGTTTGTAAACATCAGCACGAGGAAGTGTGGGAGGTTTGTAAACATTAGCACGGGAAGTGTGGGAGGTTTGTAAACATCAACACGGGAAGTGTGGGAGGTTTGTAAACATCAGCACGAGGAAGTGTGGAAGGTTTGTAAACATCAGCACGGGAAGTGTGGGAGGTTTGTAAACATTAGCACGGGAAGTGTGGGAGGTTTGTAAACATCACCACATATGACAGGGCGCCACATGTGACAATTTTTTCATCAACAATTAATGTAATTACGAAATTGAACGTAGATAAGGCAGTAAATGAACTACTCTTCTATTGTAGTTAACGTAGATCCTGTAATTATGGCAAAGTGGTTACATGAGTTAATATAGTTAATGAAGTTATGGCAGTAAATATAGTATCGCAGTTACAGGAGTTTGTGTAGTTAGGCCAATAACCACAATTGCTTTTTTTCATAATTCGGAAATTGTTCAAAATTCCTGGCAGCGGTGGGATTCGAACCCACGCCTCCGAAGAGACTGGTGCCTTAAACCAGCGCCTTAGACCGCTCGGCCACGCTACCGTACAAACCTTGAACGGAGGTAAAGTATAACATTTAACTAGTAACTAATATCCTTACCGTATTATGATGATAATTCTCATTGATAGGGATATCAATGAGAATTATCAATATAATACAATGATGTCAATATAGATGCCCTGGCCGAAAGTGCTCAGACTTAATATCAGTTTTTCAAATGTGTGTAATATGTAATATATATATATATATATATATATATATATATATATATATATATATATATATATATATATATATATATGTATATATATATTCTTGCAAATCTTTTTTACTATGGCATGGCCTCGTCGTCTAAGGCGTTTGCTTGAGAGTACCCAGAGCATAGGTTCGAATCCTCATCACGGCTCCTACTAGTGTTGGTAATAATAATAATTTTTATTCATGAGATAAGCATACTTAAGAATATAATACAGAGGTATATTTGAAGGATCAGGGGGGGGTGACATATTACATAAAGCCTCTATTACGCATCGCTTTTCGGGAAAAGATACAGGTTGTGTTGGTATTTGTGGAGGTTGTGTTGGTATTTGGGGAGGTTGTGTTGGTATTTGGGGAGGTTGTGTTGGTATTTGGGGAGGATGTGTTGGTATTTGGGGAGGATGTGTTGGTATTTGGGGAGGTTGTGTTGGTATTTGTGGAGGTTGTGTTGGTATTTGGGGAGGTTGTGTTGGTATTTGGGGAGGTTGTGTTGGTATTTGGGGAGGTTGTGTTGGTATTTGGGGAGGATGTGTTGGTATTTGGGTAGGTTGTGTTGGTATTTGGGGAGGATGTGTTGGTATTTGGGGAGGTTGTGTTGGTATTTGGGGAGGATGTGTTGGTATTTGGGGAGGATGTGTTGGTATTTGGGGAGGATGTGTGGTATTTGGGGAGGATGTGTTGGTATTTGGGGAGGATGTGTTGGTATTTGGGGAGGATGTGTTGGTATTTGGGGAGGATGTGTTGGTATTTGGGGAGGTTGTGTTGGTATTTGTGGAGGTTGTGTTGGTATTTGGGGAGGTTGTGTTGGTATTTGGGGAGGTTGTGTTGGTATTTGGGGAGGATGTGTTGGTATTTGGGGAGGATGTGTTGGTA